AGAGTTCGTAATGGGAACTACAGTCTGTGACAGAAAATTGTCTATGCAGGTCCAGGTCTTCGTATAGGCCCCATATGTATATCAGTACCTCCCTATATTCGGTATTTTGACGATTTTAGGTACAATACTTACCGAAATTGTTTGAGATGTTGTATTTGAAGTTCGTAATGGATGATACAGCCTGTGACAGAAAATTGTCAATGCTTCTCCAGGTCTTCACACAGCTCCGATATAACGGTACCTCCCTATATACGATATTTTGATGATTTTTGCTACATTATTGACCGTTTATTTCAAGTTTCGAATTTGCATATGGTAATGGCTTATGAAAAACAATGCCTATGTAGGTCCACGCCGTATACACCCCAATATAACTACTATCTTCAGTATTTTTAAAATTGTAACTGAATTTTTTAAGGATTTTATTTTTTGAAAATTTCCAAATTCGTTCCATATGGTGAAGAGTATTCGAAGTTTGGCACGGCCAAAATTACTGCTTTTTAACTTGTTCTACTTCAATTACTTTCACTTAACAATACCTGTAGTGGAATTCTCTAAATCACTTTCTGAGCTACCGACAAAAGTCGGTAAAATAAAAATGCAAATAATTCCAGTAATTAACGAAATTTATCAGAGAAATCAAAGTAGTCGCTAAGACCTACCGATAGATACCAGCGTTTTCAACATTAACTTATTTTTATATCAAAGTTTTGGGTTTCAAAGCTTTGTCAAAGTCAAAGACCTAAAATGGCAAAGACTAGACAAAATGCATTCTGGGCAATTTTTTTTTGTATGTAGAATACATAGAGTAACAGCTCATGACAGAGGCATGTTAATATGAAAACCACGATTACGGAAACGAATGAAAAACAAAGTTTTGAAAAATCCAAAAATGTGGTTTCAAAATTCTATTCCATAGACCTTTCCAAACACTGTATTTTGCCTCAGCGGTTTAAATTAGCTAACATTGGAAACTATGTTGTTATGATATCATAACAACAGAGGCATTTTAAACTGGGTGTACATATGTTGACTCTGTTTTGTCCTATCTTGACATTTCTATGTCTTTGACTTTGACAAAGGAAAGGTCTATGGAATAGAATTTTGAAACCACATTTTTGACTTTTTCAAAACTTTGTTTGTCATTCGTTTCCTTAATTGTGGTTTTCATATTAGCATGCCTCTGTCATGAGCTATTACTCTACAAAGACATAAAACTATAAAGATTGGACAAAATGCATATGGGCTTTAATTTTTCCATCAGGTAATAGATGGCATGCGACATAACAGAAATGTATTGGAAATTTTAGAAAAATATCAGTTATGATCAACATGCTCTCAAAAATCTATTCCAGATTGTCATTAAATCCAGAGATATTCTTGATTGCAAGAAGGCCCTCTTTCAAATGTTTGTTGGGTCTAACGACACAGCAATGTAGTGGGAAATGATATGGGTTATGAATTAGCTCGGGGTGGTATCATGCTCAGTTTGCAGGGTATTTAAGTTTAATTGCCCGGCTATTTCGAGAAGAACCTGCTCTATCAATTAGCAAGCTAGATATTAGAGTCATGTTAGGAGGACCTCTGCAAAATTTTCATTCTTTTTTACACTTCTATATCTTTTCTCTGCGTGGAGCTGCCGACTACCGTATAACTTCACATCCCCTAAAATGAAACCAAACCAAAAGCAGCTCAGCAGGAATATTTGTGTGTATGACTTACAAGGGTCATGCTTTGGAAGATAGTTCGTATTTCGAATTTATTGCGATAAAGCATACCCAGATCAATCCAAGTTTGACAGAAGTTGTCCTACCACAAATATTTTTTTAAAGCGAAATTTGTTCTTGTAACGATGATATTTTAATCCCTTTGGTGTTGTTTTTATATAAACAATCGTTATTAGCTGAAGCAGTTGCAAGATTTGGAAGAAATACTAATACCATATCATCCTGATCATCGTTTGAAAAATAGCTTTTACCCCCATAGAAGCTAATTCTAAGAATAGCGCTTAGACCTACAAATACTTTAAATCGGATGTATCTAGACACTTTAGCTACATTAGTTTATGCTCACCTCTATTGTTTACAAGCGTACAAAAGCATTTTGATGTGAATTTTCCAGAAAAAAGCTGTTTGTGATGGAATTCAAGCGTGATAGTGTAATTTTCTTTCTATCGGTCATTACCGTGTTTCTGGTAGCGTAGCCCAACGTCAGGGAAGCGGACGGAAGAAAACAGCAGCATCAGAAGAAATGATTCGAAAAGTAAAGAAATGACTTGATCGAAACCGGCGTCGCAGTGGCCGAAAATTATTATGAATATTGAAAAATGAGATCGGGGTAAAGCCATTGAAATTCTAAAATTGCAAGAACTTGCACCGCAACGGAAAGAAAATAGATTCAAAAAAGCTAGAGTTGATTCGCCTGACCGAAAGTGGTGAACTGCCGAATTTGGTTTTCTCCGTTGTCCAGCAGTTTCGTTGCCCAGCAGTTTGTAAACAAACAAAATAATCGTGTTTATTTGTCAAAGAGGTCAGCTGAAAATGTGCACATTCGGTTGGCCACCAGAACTCAAGCGCCGGGTATGGTGATGGTGTGGGCCGCCATAAGACATTCCAACAGGACTCAGCACGCGCCACCCAAAAATAGTTACAAAATGAGGATCCCTGCTTTATTTCCAGCGCATAATGGCCACCAAAATAGTCTCAAAAGAGCTAAAGAGTTGATTCGCTTGGCCGAAAGGGGTGAACTGCCTAATTTGGTTTTCTCCGATGAGAAAACATTCATTGTAAACAAACAAAATCATAGTGTTTACTTGCCAAAGAGATCAACTGAAAATGTGCACCTTCGGTTGGCCACCAAAACTCAAGCGCCGGCCATGGTGATGGTGTGTGCCGTCATAACAGCCGACGGTCGCTCTCCGCTCGGATACCAATCCGTTGGACTATTGTATCTGGAGCGTGTGACGGTTTCATTGGCCGTTTGAAGGCCATAATTCGTGCCAAAGGTGACCAATTCGAACAAATCTAAACTTATTCTAAAATTTGGTTCTATTTCCGACATTTTTTGCTTTCATTCAATAAAATTAAAAAAAAAATTTAAAAATTATGGTGTTTGACTTTGTTGCAGTTTTTTTTATCTCACCCTGTATATTTTTGTTTGGCCGCTAATCCAACTAGCACGCATAGTGACGTGTCTCCCTGGCTTTGCTTTTTCATAGCAAATTTCAGCTCATTAAACTGATCTTGAAAATAATAAAACTTTAGTTATATTTAATACACACTTACCCGTGCACTTTCATATCTATTAAAATATGTGTAAACCATGGAGTGTTTATGTGAGATGCAAATTACATTTTCGAAAGGAAGTTGTCATATTTTGGTAAGGCATGCTCACGCACCACATATAAATACTCCTTGGTATACGACTTTTTCTTCGATTTTAATATGTTTTATTTGTTGTAATTATCGCTTATGATCTTAAAACTACCAGAATTATCTGCATTTAAAACTTGTTTATCAATAATTAGAAATTTCTTTGTTGTTTTCATCCTTTAACATAGAAATGTACCAAAAAAAGCTTACTTCGAACATAAAATTAAAAATTATTAGAAAATAAAAATTAAGACAATAATTTTATTATACTTAAAATTAGCGTATATTTATAGATACAGTAGATGTATTTTTATTTTATTTTAGACATGTAAATAAGGACTTTCAGTTTTAATCTTTTTCTCTTTACAAAATAAAAATAAATTAAATTATAAAGAAAGATTTGAAGGGTTTATTTTAAATCATTATCTGTCGGTTGATATTGTTGGGAACATTTTTGTCACTACTAAAAAAAGAGGAAACATTTATTAAGCTGAGAAATTCGGATATATTCGTTACGCCACAAACAAAAAACAAAAGACTTTGGAAAATTTTAGGGAGTCTTTTCTTCAGTAAAATTGTGATTAATTTCATTTTTTAATTTTTTCAAACAAGTTTTCTGGCTTTCCTAATGCCTTGAATTAGAACGGAAATTTTAGCCGTAGAACTTCAATAAAATGGACTGTGATTTAAAACTAAGATGCCAATGAATATTCAGTCAGCGCTTTTCATTCACTTTATCGTTGTTATATTTTTATATGGGAAATTTAAGGTGTCATTTCCATAAGAAATTAGTGTATTTTAAAAATTTGAACAATTTCTAAAAGGTTCTCCGTCTATACCAATTTTATATATTCATAAACGATAGATACAATTAGATACAATCTTTGACTAATTTTATGCAATTGGCATCCAACCTAAACAGTAATGGGTATACCAATGCACATACCAATTGTTATAGGTACACATCTTTTCAAAAATATATTTTAATTATTCTAGCATCAGCTAAAAATGCGTATTTCGTTCAATACATAGTGAAGCCTACTCATAGAATATCTAAAGATGTAGATTAAACATATCTAGTCTCGTTTGGAATATAATTGGGAAAATTTTAGCAGACACTGGATTTTAGTAAAACCATGAAATGATTTAAATATTTGATTTCATGGTAGTTTCCAGTTCTAATTTTTTGCTTGTGGGAAAAAGCTAACTGTTACTAATCTGCTTAATTTTTTGCCAGTAGAGAGTATACATAAAAAGGAAGCCAGTAAAAGTCTCGATATTTATATGCAATATAATTAGAATCGAATAATTGCTCCATCTTTTGTTTTGTCACAAGTGCACATTTCTAATTAAATTGACTATTTTTTCGACGATCTATCGAATATTTAAGCGATTTAAAGTACTTCAAAAATCAGAACATTAGTTTTTTTAATATGACCAAACACAAATGTTTTTGTGTTAAAGCAAACTCTTGAGATGTCTCGCTCGTCTGTTACACATGCAAAAAAAAAAATTATATATACCCAATACATTTTAGTACAGTTTTATTTCTGGCTGAAGATCGTATTGATTTACTATTTCTGTGTGTAGTCCTTTTCTGGCATCAATTGAAATAATTATATTAAAAGGTTAGGTTATGTCGAAACACAGCATTATCTTTTATTGTTTACATACAGGGGGATATACACAAAGTAGCGTCGACCTTGTTGAAGAAATAAGGAAGTGGTTATGGATAAGAGATGAATGAATCGGTGTTTACATAAATTCCTGCTGATTTTACTTTGTTTACTTTTTTATCAATGGCACTTCTAAAGTGTGTTTCCATCGAATGTCCTTAAATGAAATGAAGAAGCATTGTTATTGGTTGCAGTTTTATTGTTGAAACTGGTGGTGGCGTGTTTGAACTATTGAACCTCCGATGACTCTGGCTTAGATGTGGATGGATGATGATTATTAGGGTCGGGCGCCGTCTGGGGCTGTAATAAATAAAAAAGAAAAAATAAATAATTTATAGTTTATTTATTTTAAAGTGAAATGAGAACAAATTTCGATATATGAATTATTGTATATATCTTTTGTACCAACATATATGTGAAAAACAATAGATTTATAAAAAAAAAAAAACAGAGTAATATATGTATTTTGTCGTCTACATGATGGAAAACAATATCTTGGACTTGTTCCAATTCGCCGAAATTCCAACTAAAGGACAAATACAATGACAAATTTCTGGGGACAAAAATTACACAATGGTTGGTAGATGAATGTAAATTGTGTGGCTGTGTGTGAAATGCTGCCTCTTTACTTTTTTGGGCTCTCCAAATTCAACCGATTGTAAGTAACCAACAATGACAACAACAACAACAACAATATTACAATAAAGTGTTTCTTTGCATAAAAATGTATCTAAGTAATAAAAACTTTCACACAAATACACATAGAGGACAGTAGTAGAATAGCAAAATATATAGAGTATGTACGTGTATTTTATATCAGGACATATGGAACCAATAACAACATGGATGAAATATACGTACATACATATTGTGTATGATGGTTGGCAGGTTGTGGACAAGAGATTGGTGGTAAATAGTTAAATAAATCACAAAACAATTTGAAAATATAAAATACAAACTAAACTAAATAAAGGAACTAAATAAAAATGACACACATGTAAACGATTGAAAAATTAAAAAAAAAAAACAAATTAAACTGCCTACAATATAGTATAACAAGTAATACAACAACATCTCGATAAAACAAACGAACGAACAAACAACGAACTGAGGTGTTGGTGTGGATGTGTATGCACAGTAGGATGATGAGAGATAGAAAAAATGTGATTGATTTTATTGATTTGGTTCTGAGATTTGTTTAAAAAGAGCAAGAAGAACAGTACCTACCGATTTACTACTCACAAGTCCTAGCTGCAATCCAACCTGTGGCAATACATGGATCGGCGGTACCGTTGGTACTGGCGATGGATTGACATTTGAGGGGGTGGTTGGCGGTGCCAGAGCGGCTCCTACACTATGTGGGACATCGTGAGGTGTAGTACTGTGAGCCTGTTGAAGTGCGCCTGTATAATATCCGCCATTTAATCCTGTTTTGTATTGATATTCAAGGTTTGAATGTAAAGCAAATACGTGTGAAGATGTGTTTGTTTATTTAAGATATCTACGTAATTTTTGTTTGTTTCAGATGATTTTATATTGTTACCCAAGGTAGTTTCCTCATTGGAAAAAGATCACTTTTGTCTCATTGAAAGGTAAATTTTGTGCAGTAATATGTCAATGTGATTTAAAAAAAATACACTCAACTCTTTTGTGGATTTTCTTTTGTTTGTTTGTGTGTGACTTAATATTAAGTTCAGTTATTTTTTGAATAAAATAAAAAAACCTTTTTAAAATTACATGTATGTATTAGTACTGCACTTGCAATTCAACACGATATCATAACACTTTGTAACACATAACATTCCTTATCTCCCCCATCACCGCCACTAGAAACGAATAAACAAAAATCTCTATTCGTCCCCATTGTGATTGTCATTCTCGGCCGTATGGAAGTTTATACAGTTGCTAAAGAATTGAGGCAACAATCCTTGGTTTCAAATCGTAAGCGATTTAGAATACATTTCTAGACAAATTTACCAGTAGGTAAGATCTGTCGTGTTACGACAATCCAAAAAAAACCTGGTATTTAATGAGAAATACAAAGCTTTTCCATATCCCAATACTGTGTTTTGTGCCTTTATCCTTAAAAGTACAGAACCTACTAACAATTTATTTCAACATACAACTATATATGAAGAGTCTAAAGAATTATGCAGAAATCAGTCCTATGAAGTGTGTTGGAATAAAAAAAATCTGGTACCAAGAGGTAGTTTTCGCAATCAATTGACACAATCATACCTTCGGCAAATGATTTCTTAATCACAAGTAAATGGGGTGCAAAATACATTGTAATACACTAATGAGTTGATGTCTTTCGAGACTTTTTCTTGAAAAACACACAGTGTTTGTTATTATATACACTGAAAACATTGAAATAAATGGAATGATGGAAACGATTAAATAGATATATGTAGGCTACATAAAATATTATTAAAATTAAAAAAAAATGTGTATAAAATCATGATAGAGCATATGTGAGTTTATTGCAGAGATCTCTAATTTATATTGGGAAGCATTGCTGTTTTCAATTTCTTCTTTTTCTAAACAAAATTACTGACTTTCATTCTTATAGATAATTACAGTTTTGAAACTTGTTTCTTTATATTAGTATCTAAATTATTTATTGCTCTTTTCAAGTGATTCCATCATCCCAATTAATTTCAATAATTTGTAAGAGAAGGGTAAAGGTTTTATTTTGTATGGAAAGTGTTGGTGTGATGAACATATATGTTTTGGAGGAGATCCTTACCAAAAGTTTAAACAATTTATGTAAAAAATAATTTACGCGTTTGTTTTGTGGTTTTTATAACTTTCTTATTTATTTCTTGTTTTCATTGTTTTTTATTTCCTTTTGTTTTGTTATTTTATAGCTTTCACAGTTATTAAAAATATTTTTTATACATTACAAAATAACAGTTTTTGTCTTGTTTTTATTTTTGTTTTTAATTATTATTTTAATTTTCAATTTTCGTCTCTAATTTATGTGGGGATGGGTTGTTTGTTATAAAGATAAAGACAATTTCTTTTTCTCATTTTTTGTATATATAATGTATATATATATAGAATTTACGGTATATTTTGTTAATCTTTTTTTATATATATTTGTATCAAACTTAAAAAAACATGGGTATATTTATGTTGTGGTGTTGTAGTGCATTGTAAGCTACGTTGCATTTAATATTTTCTTCTTTTTAGTATACTTGGAGGAAGTGTGTGCTGTGTGTAGAAGAAAAAAGATTCTGAGCTGAATTGTCTGCTTTTGTTCAACTAATATAAATGGAAGGAGGAAAATTTGGTCCTTATACATCACACGCTCATGTATGTGATTGTAAGACCACAAGTGTTGTATAAAAATTGTGCAATATAATGACATTTTAGCTGCTCCTTACAAAACCACGAAAGAAATTAAAAAAATATTTGTTTATGTTACTTTTTCTAAAACTAAACTTTTATTTTAACATTGTAATCTCGGCTTGCACTTTTTTATTTTTTCCTTTTATTATTATTTTATATATATGTGAATATATATATTTTTCTTTTTATTAGACATCATAAACCTATTTTTATATACTTCTTTTTTTTTTTGAATTTACATTTATAGACTAACTTTTGTCGCCTAATTCTATTATTTGTGTATGTTGTTGGTTGTTCTTGTTTTGTGAAGCATCGTTTTTAACTCTTTTATTTTTTAATTTTGCATAGAATAAATGACGATTTTTGAAGGCGAAAATAATCACGGATGATGAGATCATTTCAAGACAGAGCAAAAGTTTCAGTTTAAGTTTCTGTTGTTGCTTTGTTATATTATCAGGCCATAGTTGTTCATTTTCTGTTTGTTATTTTAATGATATTGTTTTTGTTACATAGTTTTCTGTAATTGGTCTTAGTTGTTGCTTTATCAGGTCAAAATTTAAAATTAAAGAAGAAAGCCAGTAATCTCTAGGGTTGATGAATGTAATTTATAGGTAGATTCCTAAAATAAATTTCCACAATTGCATTTTGTGTTGAAAAAAGCTTTTTGTTTGTTGTTCTGTTATTATTTTTTGATTTGAATTGTGGCAATTAGAAGAATATTGGCGAATCATTTTGTTTTTATAATTTTAAAACCTGATCATCACACAGATAGACATACACTTTAGAATATCTCATGACAAACACAAACATAGCAAATACTGATGAGGAATGGTATATATTGTATAATATTTTTACAGCAGTGTACTTATCGTTAAACATGCTCCTTCAGAAAAAAAAAAAGACATACAAAATTGTTTATAATCATCGTGTCTTCAAATCAAAAAAGAAAATCACAACAAAATGCCATCAAATGTGCTTAATTTCACCTTACTTGGCAGATATGAGAACTTTGATTGATTTATTTCCATACGTAACGTATATATGCTATTTTCTTTCATTCATATTGGCATGGTAAGTAGTTTTAGCTTTTCTTCTATGCAGATGAGAAGTAATAACTTGGAGATTTATTTCATTCAAAATATGTTAGCTAATAGCTTGTTGTTATTGGTTGGTTGTTGTTGCAGCGAAATTAATGTGAAATAAAATTACAAAACAAAAAAATGTAAACGTGTTATACAAGCTTAGGCTAGAAATTTCTTAAAAAGTAAAAAACGTGTAAACTTAGAACGAAGTACTATGCAAGAGGAATATATTTGCAATAAAATAATAGTTATACATTGTAAACAATTGACAAAGAAACACTTTAGCTTATTCAGAATAATACGTAAATCAATTTCACTACACTGAATTGTGGTAGTTAAAATTTAAAACACACAAAAAGAAGAAGAAACAAACCACAAAATGTGATAAAATTCAGAGCCACACAAGTAAGCAAATTATGATTGTATGACATTAAAAGGAAACTAGGTAATCTAAAACTATCATTGCATTCGGATTTCCTTCTCATCACTAAAAATTTAGCAATGCAAACAATTTTAATAATTGGTGAGTACTGGACTCATATTGGCTCAACGTCAAAGTCCATTTAATACTAAATTGAATATGTCCTCTCTCTCTACGAGAATGTATACAATAATAGACAACGGGAAACTCTCAATGATATTGAGAAATATGCAAACAAGCTAATTTAATTCTAAGAAGATGAATGTGATGGTTTGTAAAGTTGAGTAAACCGCCGTCTAGGGGAAACAAGAAAATTTACGGACATTTGGAAGGTTAAAAGCTAACACATTCGAATCGCAAATAAGTCTTTATAAAGCTACATGCATAACAAAAGGGTAAAACATATTCCCTAATAGAACACATTGTAAAAAATTTAGACAAACCGTACGACACATTGAAATTCTCATTGTGATATTTGATTGAAACCATGGTACAATGAGGAGAAGATAGGCTAAGTTGGAAAACATTGCAAGTAAAGTGCCTATCTGTATGGATTGTAATGGCAATATCAACTTCAAAACAAAAGCAACAAGTTGTTTATTATCAAATAAACAAAACAACCTGTGACATTATTTTGAATTTATAAACAAACAAGTAAAAAAACATTAAGTTTGGCCGAACTTTTAATACCCCCCACCTTAGAGTAAAGGAAACATTATAACCTATTATGACCCACAAATACCAATTTTTAGACATATTCTTGGGAAAATGTGGCAAAAATCATGAACATACCGAATAACGGGAGATACCGCTATATGGGCTATACAAAACCGTGGACATATACATACAATGTTTCGCCACCGAAGCTAGAACCCATTACGAAGAACTACAAATACCAATTTGTAGACAAATCTGTGAAAAATGTTGCAAAAATCATCAAAATACCGAATATCGGGCAGTACGTTTACATGGGGGCTATACCAAAACGTGGACCGATATATCTCTTGTTCAATACCAACCATCCTAGACACAATACAAATTGTTCTGTTAAATTTTGACGCTCTACGTCAAATTATATGGGATGTATCGTGATTTCAACAGGCAGAAATTGACAAAGTTAATATCCAAGGTGTAGGGTAAAAAATGTGAAAATTGAATGAAAGGTTTACATTTCTTTTCAAAATAATGTTATATATTTCTCTAAGGATTTATTTCGCTACAAATATTTTAATTTTTTCCATACATACGTTGAAATACGCGTTTTGATTACAACTGAATTTGAGTATTTTCTCAACATTTATCATATGATTGAAAAGAACACACACATTGGGCATGCTAAGCCAGGCAAATAAAATTATTGATAATGATTCAAAATTAATGCAACATGTTGTTTGGTTTATTTGATACAACACAACATGTTGAATTTATTTTCATAGTAATTCTGACATTACAATTCATACAGGTAGGTCTCTCTACTTGCAAAATTTTTCAACTCAGCCTACCTTCTCTTCATTGTACCATGATTGAAACTATAGAAGAATGTCATAGAAAGCTTTTAAAATTTGTTTTATATATTTGAGTATCAATTTTTCGAAACAATTAATCAGTCATCCTTGAAAAATGCAGCTACGGACAAAAAAAGACCGTGCATTGACATTTCGCTTCCAAAAACTCACATTTTTGAGAATATTAATCTGTTTTCCTCAATTTTTTTGTGGACTAAAAATCACTATGCTTGTTTTATATGACTGCAGAAAAAATTATTGATACAATACTCGTTTTGTGCCCACAGATGACACGATCCTTTCTAACAACAAAACATTTTTGTTATCTCATATTTGAAATTTCAAATTATAGGGAGGGTGGTTTATTGGTGGTGGTGATGGTGGAGGGGGGAAAGTCGTGTGTATGTGAAAAATATTTATTTTTCTTTATGTAAAAAAAACTTTAATTTTTTAATTTGTTTTGTTTATTTTTAAATTTATGTTAATCATTTTCTTTCTGCGCAGTATTACTAAGTAGTAGTAGTGGTTTGTTGTATGTATGTGTGTTATGGTAATTGTAAACGTAATAATTGTAAATTTGTAAGATGTATAGTTTGGTTTTCACTTTTCTTGATTTGATAATATGGGTGGTATTTTACCTTCTGAATAAACTGACGCAGCGGCGGCAGCAACTGCTGATGCTGGTGTCCTCATGAAATATTCCTTATTAACACAATTCCTTAAAACATCTGGTATATTGCCGACAATGGCTCGTCGTATTTCCGTTGCAGCCATTTCCCGCAACTCTGTTGCGGATGCATCACTAAAGAAGGCGGCATGTGGTGTACATATTAGGTTGGGAGCGTCTTTAAGGGCGCCCTGTATTGATGAGAGGTAAGAAAAGAATTTATGTTATTATTGATCAACTCAATTGAGAGCAGCAATTTGCTTCAAAATTTATTGCAGAATATTGACATTGTTATATTTGTAGATATCTTTCATTCCGTTTTATCTTCTTACTTGGAATACATTGAAGGGTTCATTTTCGTGTACATCCAGTGCAGCGGCTCTTATTCTACCTTGCTTTAGGGCAAGTGCTAAAGTCTCGTCATCCACCAGACCACCCCGTGCAGTGTTTACTAAGAATGCACCAGGTCGCATCTGAACATATAAAAATATTGGTGAAATCAATATTAGTAATCTTGAAATTTAATGGTAATTATCATTCCGCTTTACCTGTTTAATTGTGAATTCATTAATTAAATGATGATTATGTTCATTAAGTGTACAATGCAGTGATACACAATCTGATTGGAACAGTAAATCTTGCAGAGTGTAAACACGAGTTAGGCCCAACGATTTATCAATACCATCTGGTAGGTATGGATCGTAGAATATTACGTTGAAGCCAAATGCTTTTGCTCTCAATGCAACTGCACTACCAATGCGTCCCAAGCCAACTAAACCTAATGTATCCCCTCGAATTCTTGCACAACCCTAAAAAGAAATACAAGAAAATATTTATTATTATTTTAAATCAGTTTGAACAATTAAAAATTCACAACGATGTATTTTTAATAATATTCAACAAATCTGTAAACGTAGATTGCTTTTTCACTTTATCGAAATAGCAAAAAGTATCTTCCATTGCAACACAATTGTTCAAGATAAATAAATCTCCAATATTCGTACATTTATTTCAGTTAAAAATATAGAGAAATGATAGCGGATTTCACGAATCGTTGTCAAGTGGTATTGTACACCAACTATAATGTTCTACAACATTCTACAACACACCCGTTTGTTAATTTATTTATCCGATAGATAGCAGTTTTGATTCATTTACAAAATTGACTTAAAGATGTTCACATTTCGTTGTAGAAAAACCCATACCTTATGAATACTACTAATAAAATTCAATAAAGGATATTTTTCAAATCCAAGATGCAGTAGGTATAGGCACTCAAGGTAGGTATGCGAAATTTAGCACCAAACCAACACTTAGTTGTCAGTACAAAAACGAAATTTTTTCCTTCTTATTGCCTTGAACCAACTAAGCAAGGATCTAGGAGATGGGATAACTTTCTCAATTTAATAAAATCAGAAACAGAAACACATAATCAAGGACATATACCGAAATAAAATTGATTCATCGAAAAATATCCATAAGACGCAAAGATCTTTTCTCCCATAAAGACCCTCAATGGTTTTGTAAGACCGTTTAAAAACTACTTGGAAACAGTGGATATAGCGCATTTTGCGCAAAACAATTTTGGGATCGACTTCGAAATTGGCTCTTATGGATAAAATATAACCAATTGTCACTTACATGTGCAGCTTCTCGAACTTGTTCAGGGCCGGTAAATTTTTTGCCTTCTCGCACCATATTCGCTAACCAATAGGTTCTTCGGTATAAATTTAATATCAAACACATTGTCGTATCAGCCACTTCTTCTACACCATAACCGGGTACATTGCAGACTGCAATGCCAAGTTCACCAGCTGCCTTAACATCTATGTTATCAGTACCACTGCCGATTCGTACAATAATACGTAATGCTTTAAACTTTTCCAGATCTTCTTTTGTTAAAATTATAGTATGCCACATAAGAGCGCCCACAGCTTCATTTAAAACCTGAAAAGAATACGAGCGATTACAAATGTATCATAAAGCGCGTGGTGAATTTAGTTTTACCTTTTCATGTATTTCTGATGTGCTTTGAGCATCACAAAACGCCACAGTGGCAACATCTTTCAATATTGGCATTTCGATGGAACAATCACGACCGTCTAATAATGCAACCAATGGCCGAGCCTGCATGGGACCATTGGCAAAGGGGCCTTTGACATCCAAACGTGAACGTTTAGGCAACATCATGTTCTTATCCATGATGGTGATGAGGGGCGGTGTTGAGGGTTGACTTAAAAGTTGCCTATGTCTTTACACAATATTATGATTTTATATAGAATATTGTTTTCTTCCTCTCGCCGTCTTGCAATTGTGACGATGACGACAGTTTGTGTTACCCTTCAATGTCCCGATATTGCTACTTTCCTTTTTAAACCGAACACTTTTTTCTCTTATCACTTTGCTATTATTGCTGATAGGAAAGCACGCCCAGTTTTATTTCTTTTCGTTGCTGTCTGAATATTTGTTTGTTGTGGGATGTTTAGTGTGCCTTCGAACACTTTCAAATTAAAATCATTTAAAAGTTGAAATAAAAAGTGAAAAATAATATACACTACACGACGAGTCTAAACAAATGTGATGATTTTGCAATTTTCTTCCTAGTCTTGTTTTTTGTTGTTATGTGGTTATGGTTGCTGTTCTCCAGTATGTTTGAATTCAAGTTCAATGTGATTTCTTGCGTTGCTGCAAATGATTTTTTTTTGTCGATTCTTGTGTCCTCTTCTTCTTTGTTGTAGGTTGTTATAATTTCTTCAAGTTGCTCGGTTGGTTGCAATTTGCTAAAGCTGTGTTCACGTTTTTGTTTTTGATGACTTCTAATTTCGGCGTTTGTGTGAAATTTTGTTGATATTTATTTGGCGCTTCGACAACTCCATCACGTTGTGTGCTCCATAATTAGAATTAATATCAGATCATCATCACGGCCTTACTATGATGATTATCTGCAAAAAAAAACTAAAATCAAAAAATAAACTTATTATATTGCAATAAATTTTTTGTTGTAATTAGAGCTTCACAAGTTAAAAGAAAAACATTTCACATATAAAAAAATTAATAAAAGTACATTCGTTTCACTGACAGATAAATTTTGTACACCGTTTACCGTGCATTTACAAGATCAAGTGTTAAACTTCAAAATGAAAGTTTCAGTTAGAAAAGGAATAACAACATAACGATGTTGTTCCAGGACATAACAATATAACAACGAATAAAACAGTATTCCTAGCCAGCGAACTAAAAATCAAAACCAATAACGAACTGCTGATGACTGCTAAATTTATAGTTGTCATTATAAATTTTATTCTTTGCAACCATTGAAAGGTGGACATAATAAATGAAGAAAAAGGCACGATATTGGTTAATGTGTTTTACTTTATTTGTAAAATGTTCATATACAGGGTGATATAAAAAAAACTGCAACCAACTTCAGGCTGCTGTCATTTCTAAGCCACTCGCCCGACAGCTGTTAAAATTATTCCAGTGACAGCTCATTATATTGTTTACAAGCGTACAGCATTTTTTTGTTAAGAATTTTCCAAAAAAAAGTTATTTGTGATGGAATTCAAGCGTGATAGTGTGATTTCTTTATATTTGGTTGGAAAACCACAAGTGGCTAGCATTAGAGCACTCCAGCATTTAAATGTGAACAAATCTTTTGTGTCTCGTAGCATCGTTACCGTGATACTGGTAGTGAGCCCGACGTCAAGAAAGTGGACGGAAGAAAACAGCAACATCAGCAGAAATGGTTCGAAAAGTAAAGAAGCGACTTGATCGAAACCGTCGTCGCAGTGGCCGAAAAATGACGGTTGGCCACCAGAACTCAAGCGCCGGCAAATGGTGATGGTGCGGGCCGCCATAACAACCGATGCCGAATATTATCGCGAAAATATTCTGGAGGGTGTATTAAAGCCTTGGGCACGGAAACTTTTTGGCCGCAGACCTTGGACATTACAACAGGACTCAGGACCAATTTTTGGTTGGCGCGTCCTGGCCACCAAATCTCTGGATAGCAATTCGTTGGACTATTGTGTCTGGAGTGTTTTGGGATGCAAGGTTGGCACTAAAAAATACCAAAGTGCTAATTATACTATCTCTTTCTATAAACCCTTCCTTCTCTTTTTTATATATCTCTTATCACCAACAAGTATATTCTTTTCCTTGGTAAACACAATATACCAAAGGTCTCCGAGTGGAGCAGTTACCGACTCCCGCGTAGCTGGCGCATCCTTAAATCAAAGCACCCCAAAACCAAAGCATCTCAAACTGTGTGCAAGTTTCTTGCATATGAAAAAGAAGGTTCAAACATCTTCTTTCCTCTAAGATGTAAAACGTATAAATAATTCTCTGTAACATTCATGGGGAAAATAACTTCAAATTCAAAACATTCGATTGCAGGAAAATATCACATCTGACTGATACCAATTACATATTTTAATCAAAACCCTCCCCAAATCATAAATCAAGTCAATTCATTTTTCCCATGTCGAAACCTAATACTACAAGTTCAAAGAATGTATAACAAACAAACACAATAAGTTCATCAACCGAACGAACGAGCAAACACAATATTTGCAATTTCTGCAGAAAAAATAAGTTTAAATAATTGTAAAACATGCATTCTAAGCTATAAAATATACACACATCGGTATATGCTTAAGTAAATATACAAATGCATGTATTTTAAATGATATTTCTTTTAATAGAAACAAAAAAAAATGTGTAATGCGATAAGAAAATGTGGCAGGCAGGCAGGCAGACTGTCAACCTCGTCATCCTCGTTGTTGTCGGTTGATTAGTAATGAATTTTGCCGTTTTTCGTTCTCCGCTATTAAAAGCCAAAAGTACATTCATATATATAGACATATGACATATGTATACACATGTGTTTGAAAATACACTGCACATCCATCCATACAGATAGATGCACGAATTGTATTTGATATTTAATTTGTTTAATCAGCATTTGCTATATCAGCACTTGAATCAAATAAAAAAATGTTGAAAATATACACGAGGTTGGAATTATATTGTTGAGGGAGTTTGCAGTGAGGAGCTAGGTTATTTATATAAATAAAATTCCCTATACTCTCTCCCTCTCTCTCTCTCTGTAGACTTGTGAAAACAATAATGAAATAAACAAAATGAACTGTGACCATTTTTCCAACCATCGTCGATATATGACCAACGAATGTACTCTTAAAATTTGAAAACCATATTTGGTTCGTTTGTTCTCGTATTGTTCATCCTATCCCTAGGCAACTTTTATCATAAACCATTACAATATTCAAATGCGAAACTTGAATAAAAAAATTCGGTGAATAATGTAGCTAAAATAATCAATATTCCCCGAATATAAGGAGGTACCGTTATATTGGGGCTATACGAAGACGTGGACCTGCACAGACAATTTGTTGTCACAGGCTGTAGTATCCATTACGAACTTCAAACACCAAATTCGAAACAATTCCGGTGAATAATGTAGTTAAAATCATCAAAATACCGAATATCGGGAGATACCGTTATATGGGGGCTATACGAAGACGTGGACCTGCATATACAATTGTCTGTCATAGGGTGTAGTACCCATTTTGAACTTCAAATACCAAATTTGAAACAATTCCGGTAAATAATATCGCTAAAATCATGAAAGAACCGAATATCGGAAGGTACCGTTATATGGGGGCTATATGAAGACGTGGACCTGCATAAACATTTTTTTTCACAGGCTGTAGTATCTATTACGAACATCAAATACATAATTTGAAACATTTCCGGTGAATAATGTCGCTTAAATTACCAAAATACCGAAAATAGGGAGGTACCATTATATGGGGCTATACGAAGACGTGGACCTACATGGCCCATTGTGAGTTAGATTTTATTAGCCTACTTCATTTCGTTCGGAAGCTAGAGTGATTTCCAGAGACGGACAGACGGACGGACATCGCTAAATCGACATAGAATTTTATGCTGATCAAGAATATATATACTCTGTGAGGTCCAAAATGTATGTTTCGAGGTGTTACAAACGGAATGACAAACTTAATATACCCTCTATACTATGGTGGAGGGTATAAAAACCAAAATATCCAATGCAGTTAGCATAACGATTTATCTCTCAAAAACAATTCAACTTCACATCTCATAATGCACTATATGTAGAATACTTAACAAATAATGGACCTACACAGAACATATCCTAGAGGAAAAATTATACTCTACCCTTAAAACAGAATACTAATAACTAATTTGCATGAAAGGGCGTTTAACGTTAAAAATGCTTCGAATCTGAAAATAACTTTGTATGGGGGCTATATCAAATGGTGAACCAATATTAAACACTTTTGTCAAGTTGCGGTCAGAAATTGTTTTTGAAGCATTCAAAATATTGAAAAATAGGAGGTATCCTTACATGAGGCCTGAATACATAGTGTGTTGGCTATTTTGAGTTATAGCAAATGGAATGACGAATTTAAACAAATCCATTTTATAGGGGAGGGTATGTGAGTTTGATACGACACCGAATTCCGAAAGTGCGTCTATTTTCTACAAGACATCAGTAGTGAAATTATCTAACTCATTTTTTGACTTACCGACACAAAATCGGTAACTTTGAAATCCAAAATGTTGATATTAAAAATAAGTTAAAGTTGACAACATTGGTATCTAGTACTTTGATTTCATCGCTAACTTACCGACAAATTTCGTTAATTACCGAAATTATAAGAATTTTAATTTTACCCTCTTTTGTTGGTAACTTAACAAATTAGTTAGAGAATTCCACTACAGAAGCCTATTACAATCTTTTGGCACAGTACTATATGGAGATTTCGATTGTTTAATTTTCGTCAATATTTTTGCAGATCGCGCAATAGTCATTATTTCTCCAAATTGGATGACATGAGCTTCAGGTTACAGCGACCTTTTGACTTTTTAACAAGTCAATAATATTCATTGGTTTTGCTCGTATTGGCTAGTTTTGGTTGTAATTTTGTATTTAGAGTATATCGATTCTAAGCTCATTTTTCTACCGTGTAGCCTGTAATTTTGTGTGAGGTATTTCAATTTTAAATACACTGTCTGATTAGTTCTCACACAACTACCATTTCATTAATAACACATGCTTATACATTTCCTATGGTATTTTTAATGTGTTACATGTTAACTAAAGTTTTATTAAATATCTGTCGTCTTGCTGATAAACGAAATATTAAAAATTACCTGTACAAGCACGTACTTGCGACAACGATGCCGACTGCTGCTATATAATAAAATATGTATCTCTATTTACGAAACAAATATTCATACATTTCTTCTTCTCTGTGAACGTCCCCGTCTCCGTTTCGTACTCAAACCCACAAATTATTATTACAAAACTAAATAAACGACAATTGACAGACAAGCAAAACAATATTGTATTCATTATTGTTGCTTACACATATCGATAGATGTATGTGGTACATACACTCACGTTGTTGTTGCTGCTGTTTTTTGTTGTTTTTCTTGTCTAGTTGTTAATGATGGTTGGCGGCATTAGGCATGCGTCAAGTGACGTGGCGCATTCATTCGTCTGTCTCTGACCGAACAAAATGCTAAACAGCAGACCACTGTTTCTGTGTACTTGCCAGTCTGGCCTGGCCGCCACTAACTAGTTTTGTCCAAACAGTCCCTCCTCCTACCGCTCCCTGACCACATTAAACAAACGAACGCAACAATTGTAATACCCATTTATCGAGAGATAATTTACACATATAAAATCGGGTAATGATGTCGTTGTTTCTGTTCTTGGCATAGACAATGCTTCCCTCCCATGGTTGGTTGTTGGTATCACTTGCAGCCAGAGAAGGTAGCCGCAACGCAGCAAAGCACAATGGTTTGAAGAGAAGAGTGTCGAATGAAAACGAGCTGTTCATTTTACAGCACAATATTCAATTGGTCCGTAGTAGTGTTGTCTG